ACGACAAGCTGATGCAGATTGTTAGTTACCTCTAAAATGGTTGGCTCGCTCATATGGACAACAAAAACACTGAATAGTATTCTCACCGTCTAAATTCTCTATCACTCGTGGACGGGTGCTTGGTGTTTGAAAATCGAGTAATTGTACCCACAAACTTACGCCGTGAGGTGATATCAGAACTGCATGCTGCACACCCAGGGGTAGCACGGATGAAGGCACTTGCATGTGGCTATGTATATTGGCCGAATACTGATGCTCAGATTAAAGAATATGTTGAGAGATGTTCTGCGTGTACAAAAGCCATCAAAGCCCCTCGCAACACAGAAATGCAGAGTTGGGGGACACCAACAAATCCGTGGTCAAGAGTGCATGTGGATTTCGCCGGTCCCATAAACGGGAAACAGTGCTTAGTGATTGTTGATGCCTTCTCAAAATGGCCAGAGATCCACTACATGAAGTCTCTTTCGACAAAAGCTACTATCAAAAAACTGAGACAAGTATTCAGCTGCTTTGGGTGTCCAGATGTATTGGTGTTTGATAATGGACCACAGTTTACCTCCGCTGAATTTTCGAAGTTCTGCATCGCCAACGCCGTTAGGCATATGAAGACACCCCCATACCATCCGCAGTCTAACGGTCTAGTCGACAGGATCGTGGATACGTTTAAAAGAGCACTGCTTAAAGCTAAGGGAGAAGGGAAAATAGAAGAGATGATTCAAAGATTTTTACAAACCTACCGAGCAACACCTAACCTAGCAACAAATAATCAAGAAAGTCCAGCAGAAGCAATTTTGGAGGAATGATTAGAATACCTATAGAGCAAATGAAACCAAAACCTAGAGCCAACCTCCGCAAGAACAAACGAATGGAGCAGCGGTTCAACAGACAGCATGGTGCATTGTCCAGAAGGTTTAGGGTGGAACAAGCGGTAATAGCAAGAGATTTCACGGGAGTAAAGCCAACCTGGAAGTTTGGCATCATAATACGAAAAAGGAAAGGTTATCTATGAAGTAAAAGTTGGAAAAAAGATCTGGGTGCGACATGTAAACCAGATACAGCCAACCAGACAAGAGCGGGAGACAGGAGATGCTATAAAGTCGAATATACCATTAAATATATTAACTGAGTCGGATAATGAAATTAAAAATAACCCGAATAATAAGACATATACAACACTCCCAAGGAGGTCACAGCACATCAGACGGAAACCTAATCGAATAAAAATAAATCCTAAGGATCATTATTATCTCTAATGCTTCAAAAAAGGGAGGTGTTATATCCTAGTGAAGATTAAATTACGGTTAACTTCCGAGGACTATTAATGGACTAGTATTCTATAAATATTCTTATTGCAGAATTATTCAATAATTAGACTATGTATATTTATATTCCCCTCATTATAAGCTTCATTTTGACCTACTGTCCCTAAATTATGCTCAGTTTGTTAACTACTGCCTCCCACGTTCACAGCCACTTTTTGACTTTATTGTGTACAAATATTATCTCCTATTTTATTATTATTTACCACATTATTCACCCTTGATTATACTTATACAGCTGCTAGTCTTTGGTGGAAATTCGACTGTATCTAAACGTCCTCGAGTCACTGTCCGGTTGAAAATTGTATGTTACCACTGAATATGAGTACTAAAGCAGTTTTTCTGAAACCACGTGCAACATTCAACTGGCTGCCTTCAACGTTCGCACACCAATGCAGGTCGGACAACAGATAGGGCTGGCTATGTCCTTGGAAAGTCTTAATATCGATGTATCCTGTTTATTCGAGACCCGTATTCAAGACTCTGGTGAAGTATTACAATTTCGTTCTCCATCTGTCGCTTCGAAAAGCTTGTTCTACGTGCGCTTATCCGGGGACCCTGTGGCATCTTCGTCTGGTTTTGCTGGCGTTGGTGTCGCACTAAGCGCTATAGCTGAGGCCTCATTAATCGATTGGATCCCCATTAACAGTCAGTTATGTGCTGTTAGATTAGAAAGTTCCATCAAAGTGAGAAGAAATCGGCGTGAGAAACGATGTCTTTTCGTCATCTCCGCCTATGTCTCAACAAATTGCAGCCCGATGCAATCAAGGATGAGTTTTACTACCAGTTATCTGTTCTGCTCCAGAAAGTGCGTTCGACAGATATTGTAGTACTAGCCGGAGACTTGAATGCTCATGTCGGGCGTCTAGGCACAGAAGAGAGTCGTTTAGGTGGCCGATGGGGACTCGTTGGTCGCAGGTCAGATAACGGGGACTGTCTACTGCAACTTTGCACAGACCACAACCTGCTTCTGGCTAGCACTAACTTTCGGCACAGTCATCGCCGATGTGCCACCTGGCGTCCTCACTCTGCATCCCAAGCCTGGACTCAGATTGATCACATCGCGATCAGCTACCGCTGGCGTGGTTGTGTAAAAGACTGCCGCTCCTTTTGGAGTACCTATCTGGACTCTGACCATGCTTTAGTCTGCGCCAATTTTACCTTACTTTTCAGTGTCCAACGAAGTGACCGCCACCAACGGATTGATGTTAGCAAGCTGGTTGCAACTTCTGTTGCTATTAAGCATCGAACTGAGATAGTTTCTAGGCTAGCTACCATTCCACCGAAAAGAATAGATGAGCATTGGTTGCAATTGCATGAAACCATGAAAATGGCGGGTACAGTCAGTTGTGGGTTAGCGAAACGTCCCGCCTATAAGCACTGGGTTTCTTCTGATTCTTTACAACTCATTGAAGCCCGTCAGTCTACTCCGAGTGACCGTGAGTTTGACCACAAACGAAGGATGTTACGCAAGGAAATTGGGCAAAGCTTGCGTAAGGACCGAGAAGCCTGATGGTCGAAGCGTGCTAATGAACTGGAAGCAGCAGCTGCATCTGGCAATTACCGGGAGCTCTTCCAAACCATACGAGTCACTGGCAGCAAGAAGTCTAGTGTGAGCGAAACAATCTACGAGGATGACGGAACGTCAATCACTAACATCCATCGACGTTTCGGACGATGGCCAGAGTATTTTGAAGGGCAGTTCAACTGGCCTGCTGCTCCGGCAACATCGGTCAGACTGTCCTGCCCCCCACCATGGCCGGTGGCGACTGATTCACCAAATTAGGCGGAAGATCGCAAGGTACTCCAACTCTTGAATCGTTACAAATCACCTGGCCCAGATGACTTACCTCTGGTTCTTTTTAAAGATGGTGGTGACTTTCTTACTAAGGAATGGATGACGTTGTTTACAAAGGTTTGCAAGCTAGAGAGTGTGTCAACGTCATGGAATGAGTCGATAGTTGTCCCTATCTTTAAAAAGAGTTCACGTCGTTCCTGCAACAACTATCGGGGGATAAGTCTACTTCCGATTGCGTCCAAGCTATTGACTTCCGTCATACTTCGTAGGTTGTTCAAAACCCGAGAAAGATTGACTCGTGAGGAGCAGGCTGGGTTTCGTTCTGGTCGACGATGTATTGATCATATCTTCACCCTCCGCCAAATGTTATAACGCCGTCATACTTATCACAGGCCAACAATCGTAGTGTTTCTTGACATCAGGACTGCCTTCGATTCGTTAGACAGGACTGTTCTCTGGGATTGTCTATTGAAGAAGAGTGTGCCTGAGAAGTTTATTAACATCCTAAAAGCCCTATATACAAACACCTCAGGCAGAGTGAGGGCATACAACCACCTCTCTCCATTGTTCCATTCGAGCAGTGGGGTTAGGCAGGGTTGCCCAATCTCACCATTTCTCCTTCAACTTTGGCATCGATGACATTCTGGAAACAGCTCTGATGGATGTAAGTAATGGCGGTGTGAATCTGTTGCCCGGAGAAAGACTTATCGCCCTTGAGTATGCGGATGATATTGTCTTACTGTGCGATAATGCCCAAGGCATGCAATCCGCACTTAATCAGTTGGCAATCAGTGTCCGTAGGTATGGTATGTACTTCGCACCTTCGAAGTGCTGAGTACTTCTACAAGACTGGCAGGATTCTAATCCTGTACTCACCCTGGATGGTGAGCAGATAGAAGTAATCGAGAAGTTCGTGTATCTGGGTAGCTGCATAAGTGCTGGTGGTGGCGTGAGTGATGAGATCAATGCACGTATAGTGAAAGCCAGAGCGGCTTATGCCAATCTGAGCCACCTTTGGCGCCTTGGTGATGTTAGTCTGGCTGTAAAAGGTCGGATTTACAACGCGTCGGTGAGAGCGATTTCGCTCTATGCTTGTGAAACCTGGCCTCTCCGAGTTGAGGACGTCAGACGACTCTCTGTGTTCGATCATCGCTGTCTCCGAAGGATTGCTGACATCCAGTGACAACACCATGTCAGTAATGCAGAAGTTCTACATCGTGTGTTCGGGCACAGAGATGATAATGCAATCGATGTCACCATTTTGAAACACCGACTTCGGTGGCTTGGACATGTTCTACAAATGTCGTCCCAGAGAATTCCACGTCGTGCATTATTTGCCGACTCTGGGACTGGTTGGAAGAAGCGGAGAGGTGGTCAGTGCATGACATGGTGTCGTGGTATGAAAGAAAGCTGCAAAGGACTGGCTTCTGTTGGTCCTTCACGACTCCCTGGTTGGGGTCCGAGAGATGGTGCTACACAGTGGCTAGAGACGGCTCAGAATAGAAGCCAGTGGCGATCCTGCTGTGACCTTCTTTTACTTTCTCCATAAAAAGTGGTTGTAACTTCATTAACTGAAAGATTTCTTCTGATTGTACCTTTCCGTCCCCTCATTATTACTACTACACTACCTTACACCAACCTATTCGTTATTGTTCTCTTTTTTTTCACGCTCCTTACCTTTTTTTCTTTCTCTTCGAATTCTCATTGTTTTGTGTGGCGCATATATATTGGCGCTCTCTTGTACCAATTTTTGTGTGTTTAAATAAATAATAATAATAATAACAATTATTATTATTATTATTATATAAGACTCAGAACCACTGAGAAAAAAATAACTAGTAACCAAAGAAAGTATATGAACAAATAGACCCATAAATAGTTACCTTTCACAGTGACCGTATTTCCACCAACAGCTTCAGGACCAATTAACTGTTCTTTTAAATCACCAGATTTATAGATAAGAATTGATGGTAAGTTGCTTGTTGGATAATTTGGAATACATAAACTAGCTTCACCACGAAGAAATTTCACTGTGGGAAATTTTTGTGCTAATTTACGAAAATGTTGGTCGATTAAACTGCATAATCCATGCCTTTAGTATAAAATCAAAGTATTTTTGACAAACTATAATATATTTTATAGAAAGGAAATTTAAACACTAGCCAAGGATATATACAAATAAGTTCCGGGTTGTGATTGGTTAGAGGAGATAATCTAATGTAAAGTTACTAATTTTATTCACTTGTTGGGAGGTGATTACTTTGTTGGGTAAGTCAACTTTCAACAAATAGCTAAGTGTCTCAAAAGACCTCCTTCCATTTACCTTGATTCCAAATTTAGCGCAGTATCAGTTCTTATGTCAGCAATGTAACTCAGAAACGATTTTATTTGATTACTCAATTGTATAAGTCAAGTGACTTAATAGTTAACTAGGTTGGAAGAAAACATCTATTTGTACTTCATTGGTGATTTTTATAATTCTTTCTACTCCATAGTGAAGACAAAAATGTAACTAATCTCAGTCATAATATGTAGTGTTGAATCATAAATACCTACCCATCAAAACGGATTCGAAACCAGTACGAACATAAATAACAAATTAGAAATAGATTGAATGTACTTCAAAATTCCTATGAATTCCTCATATATGGATGGTACATCATAAATTCTAAATAGCACCCATAGCAAGACTAACATAATTATAGTATTTCAAATATCGAGGAAAGCAAAAGATCATGCATGTAAACTAGAAGACAAATTAGAAAAAAGTTATGTTAACATACTATGCAACAAATTTGAAGCAAATTTATAGCCCCAATTGGTTGAATAAGGTCTATCATAATATTTAAACTTAACATATTCCAAAATTATTTACATGTTATGACATGATTATGAACGATAAACCGTGTATAGAACATCATATAGCCAGTCAGGATAAATACAACATCCAAATCTGATAAATTTTCGACAATCACTTTATTCCACCGATTACAGATAGTACGCTATAATTTTTATTTACTAGGTACTCACCCTTTTTCCCCAACATGGATTACAACAAATATATCACCAGCATTTGTCACTTCGGTTGTCCAATCAGCTTTGGTGACTTCCCGTACATTGCCAAAACGAGATTTTGATGCCACTTCCTGCATCATCGCAATGCGTTTACGTCGATATTCTTCAAGAAAACGAGCCTCTTCATCATCAATCTCTCCATCTTCCAATAAATCAAGTTTCTCATCCAACTCATCTGATGTCAATTTATCTAAAATAGATTCTAAAAATATGAATGTTCATTGATTCTCTCTTTGAAATGAAGATAAAAATGTGTTTAAAAAGCCAATAGTATTTACTTGGATCTGGAGGTAGAGGAAGTTCTTCTTCAGGTTCAATCTTTTTAGGCGGTAAAATCCCTTTCTGACGTAAAATATCGTTCCATTCAGTATCTTCGTTTGGATCCTAGTTATTGACAGGTTTTCAGAGATTAAATTAATAAAAACAAACCAACATATTCCTCACTAATGAGAATGAATTTGGAACCCGACTGAAGGAAAAATTTATCAAAATTTAGATAACAGAGATCACCAATACTCAATCACATAAATATATTCATCATTGCCTCTAATTAAACAAAACAGAAAAAATTAAGTTGAAACTAAGTGGAAATGTACACTGAGCAATAAGACAAATAGATCAACACATAAATTACCACAAAAGCCATCGGCACATTTTTTCACCTCTTGACATTGTGCAGTAAGTAGATCTGGAGAATTGATATGTTATGCAACAAGCAAACTGAACATGAGTCGAAAAGATGAAACAAAAGAATACTAGGGTTTTTAGGACATAAAGGGTAGGGTTGGATGGACTTGTAAATGGTTATTATTGGTTTTACAACAACCTTTTTATCACGGGTTTCAATTATAGTGAGGACATGAACAGTGAAGTTTACACCTGTCTACAAATCTTTAACTCAATGTTAGTGATTTTATTATCATTATTCAGTATGGTGCTAGATAGAGTTATAAAAATGAGTGAGCGATATTAGCTATGTGTTTTATCCCATCTACTTAATGCAGATCCACTACTTCGTTGTATAACTTGCCGCTATTGCATAGGCATTAGGACCCTAATTTAATATTGTTCGATTGGTAATTGTACTAATTATTCCAACCATAAAAATTAATAATAACTACTACTGGCCTGATTGTTATTGTGTAGCGAATATATATTAGGTGCCTCCTTGTACCAATGTTTACGTGTTCAAGTAAATAAATAAATGACCGCCCTACTTAACGAACATTTACCATAGACTGCCCATTCGTTTGATTGCAAAATTCATGTTACACATCTTATATGACTAAAATAAAAGGATTTCTAACTTATCTTAGAAATGGGAATGATTGTTCCCTGGCGTGTCCACCTATAGCTCTAAATAATTGGCCTGGGAAACATTAACTTCTACTTAATCACGATAACTAACTTTACAAGCCCAAACAAGTTAGTTCAAGTTCAAAGTCTGACATAAATGTGTTCAAATGTGCAGTGTAGACACATTGGAGTATTTTGAACGGGTGCTAAAGCAGTCGTCCAACCAAAACTTCAAACTTTGGAGAAAAATAGTGAATTGTTTGTTCCTTTGGATATACGTTTAGGTAGGTGTTCTTGGTTACGGAGAGGTTTTATCGTTATGGTCGTTTTCAGTCTGAAAGGTGAAGACATTGGTTACGAATAACACGAGTGGGTGAGAAGCAACAATCAGTGATCTATTACAGTATGTACAAAGCTAAACTGAAAGTTGAAGCTTATTTTGAATGATTCAGAAAAAGGTGTCATCACTACTAGTTTTTAGTACAAGCATCTGATTGATTACTGTTGTGACTATAAATCCGGTTTTTTATCACGTGATTTATCCACCAATCAAAATACGACTTATACGGTTTTAGCACTGTGCCAAGAAATGACGTTCGACCAGTATGAGCAATTTAGCCTCCTTATTGGTCCTATGTTCGCCTAACCCGTCCACTTGAGTCCAGAACACCAAATACCAGCTTCCAATATACGAATCATATATTTCAAACATACTGTGTTTATATATCAACCAAACAGACCGTAAGGCACCATAAAAGAGGAAATAATATTTGTACACAATAAAGTCAAAAAGTGGCTGTGAATGTGGGAGGCAGTAGTTAACAAACTGAACATAGCTAAAGAACCTTAAATCGTATAATAATAAATTATAGGTAAAAATAAAGCTTATAATGAGGGGAACATAGATATACATAATCTAGTTACCGAATATTTATGCCATGAAAATATATAAATAACAATACTCCGTTAATAAGTCTCAGACGTTACTCGTAATATAATCTTCCCTAGGATGTAACAGTTACCTTTCTCTGAACTTGTTCTAAGACAGTTTTATACTTTTAGAGATGGGACACATGACTTGAGATCTTTTTAGACGAGTTGTTAGGTAAACTCTGAAGAAGGTGTTGAATAGTTCAGGAGTTAGGCAACATGAGATCCTGGAAACAGATCCCAAGACATAGTATGTCCCACAGGCTGTGAAATACAACTAAGGAAAGACCTAAAACATCACATTCGATTATGCCAAGGTGCTGTTCTGCAGTGGAAAGTGTGGTGTTGACATTCCTAGGAAAGTATGAGGCTGACGTATTACTACAATTCGCAGGCTTTATTCCGCGCCTACTGGTGGTAAAAGGGAATAAGTTTCTGGTGATCGAGTCGTATACCCTATGCACATCTTGATGAGGTCTTATCTTTCTCCAGACCATGATGTTATCCGCAAATAATAGATCTTGGTGACCTAAAGTGCAAATCATTTGAAGCTACTTGTCACTTCATCAAAACGAGCACTTCAGAAGGGCGAGTTTTACGGCTGCATACGAATAATATATATTAAACTTCAGATGCTTTAAATAACCGGTCCCTGTCATCATGTCAACGACAAAGACCTCGAGAAGCTGTACGACATCGCGACGCCAGATGATTTTCACGATATGGGAGACAAACAACAAAAGCGTAATCAAAGAAAACAAGAACATGTATGTACTAATCTAAAGTGATAATTAGTCTCTACTACTCTATATGTACGGTCTTCAGAGTTAACGAACATAGCCGTAAATGAAGCTTCAAGTAGCTAGTTGTGTAAAAGCATGTCATCTAGATATCGTTGTCACTTTTTTTGTTCTTTACACTTCAGAATTCACAGGATTATTTTGACTCTCAATACTCCAACAGGCGCTACGAAAAGAAATAATCAGTGGAATATTTAACATGTTCAACTTCGTTTACAAAAAACATTTTTGAATATGAGCTTAAATTCCTAAATGCATGGGAAACTCTTTGACCAAGTGTTGAGAAACCCTGGCCCGTTTAAAACGTATTCACAATTAAGTACATGTGTCTTACTAATAATTATCATCTCTTTCTTTACAGATCTTTTCAAACTGCAATAAGCCTCGATAATCACGATTAAAATGCATAACGATTGATGTTCTAGTATCTACCAGCCACTTATAATGTTGTAAAATGTTACGCTTTTTCTTTTCAATAAATTTCTTTAAACACGTACCATTTTTGCAAGGATTGCAGTTTTCGTCTAGTGTGATCTGGGAATAAAGGCGAACACATGAGAAGTTTTGGGTTATGCCAAATATTTCCTAAAAGTGAGAGATGAATCAGACAAATCGATGTGTATATATGCGAAGACTAGACAATTCGGCGACATTTTGTATACAGAGCGATACAAAGGGCAAAATCCGCATTCTATCCCTCCAGACAGGCGAAAATGCAGTCATTTTAGCGCGTTTCCCTATCAATTCCCGTTCACATCCCCTTTGTTAGCCTTTATTCCTACTTTATTGGTTGTTTGGGAGCCCAAAGGAGTACACAAATTGTGGTATAAGATTAAGGAACTAAAACGTTTTATTATGATCAGACTTCATAAATAACCGATTTTTATACTATGTTTTTCCGATCTATCTTTTATCACATACTCATTACTGAAAAAATACTGTGTTAACACTGGTGATCTTACAACTACCTTGAGGTGTTGGCTACTGTAACGCACTGTGTGTATAGTCCGCCTATCAAATTGTTTCAAATGGTTCAAATGATTGTGGACGGAATAAAAAAAGCTTTCGCTTAACAGGCTTCCGTGTCCAGTAGCAGGGATCGCCATTAAATACAGACAGAAACCTAGGTATATTAGCTGTAATATATTAGAAAAAAATGATAACTCATAATAAGATGTTACACGAGTCCGCATGAATAGGTCAAGTTTGTTCTTAAAGGACTCCTGGGAAGTCGCTTTGACTAGTTCAGTCGGCAGCGAATTAGATCAGAGAATTTCGACATATTGGTTATCGCCAAATACACTCTTCCGATCTCCTCGACTCTGTCTTTTGATTTCTCTCGGTGGGTACAAATTAAATTAGGTGTTGCTGTTAGAAGCGTTGTCAAACACTGGATACCTATGCCATCTTCATTGGTGAGACCGACATGATCTGGTACACCTAATTGCAATTGTGAATCTGTTCCTTTTTGAGATTTTTATATATTATTACCTTATTTTGTTATTTTTTATACATTGTGATCATTTTTTACCCGTGTTTTAGGATATCTATATATTTTCACTCGTATTCTCGTACTTAATATTCCCCTATGACCGAACAGACTCCTAAGGTATTTTAAATGAAGACCATGCCCACACCATCGTTCCAACTCATGCTTTTCTGGCCCGACAATATCGAAGCCTGGTTCTGCTACGCAGAAGCCGACTTCTGCGAGCACGGCGTGATGGACACACGTGCACAATTCCTCGCAGTGGTCAAGGCACTACATCGCGAATTCAACAGGTACGTACCACCTAGTATGTTTACTAGTGATGCTTCTGAACCGCACGAAATCCTAAAACGTTCAATTCCTAAACGAGGAGACCTAACCGATCGACAAAGGTTAGATCAACTCTTCAATAACATCGACCTGCAACACGGTTCTGCGACTGACATGTTGCAAAGATTGAGAGAAGTGATAGGCCTAAGGACTTTCGACGAAGGTCTATTTAAACAATTTTTCTTGTCTAAACTTCCTCAACAGGTGCAAACTGTGCTTGTCTCGTTTCAAAACAACGTTTTAGACGAACTGGCTGCATCTGCCGATCGTATTTTAGAAATAACGAAATCGTCTACTACAGAGGTATTTTCAGTCAAAGAAAAGCCTCACACGACTCAGAATGACATAACCAAGTTCTGTCATACACTCACGCGTTATCTTAATCTGCGTAACGACCGTAATCGCCCACACAGCCCACATAGAAGCATTTCACGTAAACGATCTGTCTCTAGACCACAATAGACGGATAACCCCTACTGGTGCTGGTATCATAACCAGTATGGAAAATCTTCCAAAAATTGCAGAAAATCCTGTAATTTTCCGAACACGAAACCGACTGACTTGAAAAACAACTCAGGAAACTTTCAAAA